CCTTCGGGTAGTGGAGTCACAGGGCCCGTTCTGTGCCTGGCTCTCACTTAGCAAAAGGTCCTCTCGGTCCCTCTGTACTGCAGCTAACAGACTGCCGTTCCTGTTACGGCCGAGTGCTATTCCACTGTGCACAGACCACCTCTGCTGAACTCATCACTTTTCATTCTTTTTTTTTTTTTTAATATTTTTTATTGATTTTTTACAGAGAGGAAGGGAGAGAGATAGAGAGTTAGAAACATCGATGAGAGAGAAACATCGATCAGCTGCCTCCTGCACATCTCCCACTGGGGATGTACCCGCAACCCAGGTACGTGCCCTTGACCGGAATCGAACCCGGGACCCTTCAGTCCGCAGGGCGACGCTCTATCCACTGAGCCAAACCGGTTTCGGCCACTTTTCATTCTTTACATGTGTCTTGCAGGCATATACAAACTAAAGGAGATTCCGGCAGTCTACACATCCCTGCCCCGCCAGGAAGCCAGCCACACCCCCTGCCCTGGCCGCCAGGGCCTCGCCTGGCCTGGACTGGAGGAGACATGGTCACGGCGCTGCCGTAAGGATGAGAAACCGGATTAGCATTCCCAGAGGAGTCTCGAGAAGCACCTGGTTTACAGCTCGATCATGCCGTTTTCTGACTTCACTGCAAACCCGTGGACTACACATTTAAGACACATCCCTTGGTACTTCTAGGCCCTTCAGCTCAAATGGCTCTGTGGCCCGGACTCCTGCCCTTTCTGTCCATGTTTTCAGCTGACCCCACTGTCTCAGCACCTTCCCTGTAACCCCCACCAAGGGCGGGCTGCTTACTGGTTTGAGAGAGAGAGGAAGTTTGAGATTCAGTCTCAACATTCCCCCAAAGCAGGAACACGGCATGCTGCCGACAGGAGGAGGAGAGGGGGCCTATGGGGAGGGAGGTGGGATCGGGGGAGCCCGAGCACAGAGGTCTGGCCGTGGCACTGAGGGCCCCCGACAGGGCAGCCCGCAGACGCGGCTAAGAGCAGCCACAAGGATACTGTAGAGCTTCCGGTCCTTGGACTCGGAGCGCATGCGGCTCAGCTGCTGCTTGTGGCAGCGCAGGCTCCAGGGGTTGTGGCTGATCTTTTCGGAGCTCAGGCCGCTGTTGCCATCCAGCATTTGGAAAGGGACGTCCGAGTGGCTGTGCAGCTCCGCCTTCGGGCTCTTGGCCTCCTGAGAGCTGGGGAGAGAACAGACACCCGTCTCAGTGCACAGGGTGGGCGCCTCCCCTGCCCCCACGCCGCCTGCAGTGGCGCACGGGGCCGAGCACCTAAAGGCGAGTCGATGGCTCCGAGTGGCCTTCCTGCGTCTAAGAACGTCTGAGAAACACTCCTCTGCATGAAACCAGGTGATGGAGAAAGCACTTCACCCCCTCGGAAGGCTGCTCTCTCACACACGACCCTGAGGGGAGCAGGTGAAGAGGCCGGCCCTCGGCTCCGCTGGAGGGAAGGGAAATGGGGCAGCCGCTCCGCACCAAGTTCACCACAGAACTCTCACGGGTGCAGCAATCCCCCCCGCGGCTACACCTACAGAACCGACACGGGAACTCGGATGCTTGGATCATGTTCACAGCGCAGCACAGTGAACCGGAGCGGCGGCAGCCCGTGCCGGCATGGCTGGACGGGCAGACAAAACGTGGTGTATCCACGCAGGAGATGCCCATACAGTTACAGCCTGGAGGCACCAAGCTGAGATAAGCCACACACAAAGGAGAACCACTGTGTGCCCCACGCATGTGAGGAGCTCAAGTCCACAGGGAGAAGCAGCAGACAGTGGCGGGGCTGATGCCGCTCGCTGCACGCGGGGAAGGGGAAGGCAGCGAGTTTCGTGATGTGCATTTGACTACAATTTTAAACACAGGAACTGGTGAGTGTGTGTTTTCACACTTAAAACGGGAACACGGATGCCATGTCAAGGACATGGGGGACCACCCTTTCGAGTGTAGAGTCTGCGGCATCGATGGCAGACTCTCCTTAACTCCGCACGGCCCATGTGACATGACACCCATGAATGGCGCCTCTATCAGGCCTGCAAGAGGAGACATCAGAGGGGAAGAGCAGGCCAGGGCGCAGGGGGAGGAAAGCAGGCCACCAGCGAGGAAGGGACTTCCTTCCTCAGGTCAGTCAGGCCTCACAGGCTTTTGGTGAGAAGACGACCCCGCGGAAAATATCAGGACGTGACCACAGCCTCATGCAAGGCTCTGCTGGGAGTGACCACAGGGGCGTTGCCGCACTGCCACGCAGAGCAGAGCCACGCAGGCGAGGCGTCCCGGCAATGGCAGGGGTGGGGGCGGCGGCTACAGTGACGTCAATGTCTCTGTCCTCCCCCCAGCCGCAACGACCCCAATAGGGTGGCGCTGGCAGCGATCTGGTCCTTTAACGGGAAGTGGAGGAGCCCTCTCAGCGTGACACAAGTCCCCTTTTCTTCTGGGGAGGGCACTGCCGAGCCATTCGTGGGTGCCTTTCTGCGATCCCTTCAAGAGCCACAAAGCTGGCTTCTTTGCCCACCAACCCCGGCCCACCCAGAAGTCACCAGGTGATATGACACACGGGACAGGTCACACCTACATGGGTGGCCCAAGACCAACAGCCACTTCCCCCAACTCGACCTACTGCCCTCGAAGCAGCCGGTGGCAGGATCTGCCCGCCCCTCACCTCTCGGTGGTCTCGAAGGGCAGGCTGGCTTTCTCCTCCTTGTGGTCGCTGCCGCTGCCCGACCGGTGCAGGCTCCGGCGGGAGTGCTTGCGCCGCGGCTGCTCCCGCTCTGGCGTGTCGTCCTCCACCGTCTCGCTTTCCACGTAAGGGTAGGCCACTAAGTTGATGTAACCATCACTGTCCCCCTCAAAACAGACAGACACCACCCCTGTGGGAAACAGGCAGCGCGTCAACAAAGGTGTGCAGACGGCACGCTGTTGCCTCGCGCTTGGTTGGCTCCCTATTGGAACAGGTTTTCAAGTAAGTCCCTGAGAGAGGGTGTTCAGAGGTCGGCTTCCGAGTCCACAGGGGCCTCCTGCAGCACAGACGGCCCCAGGCCCCGGCCCGCAGCCCGGGAGCACCATCCTCCCTCCCCTGGGCCAGGAAGGTGCGCCTCTCCGCCCACTGGCCCGCATGGCCCCAGGGCCTGCCCCTCGATGAGTCCCCTGAGGCTGTGGGATGAGCTGTCCTGAGACACAGCCGCCCAGGGTCGCCGGCAGGAACCCGAGCTGAGGGCTCCAGCGCAGGGACTGACCTTTGTACTCGGGGGTGAACTCCTTCATTTCGGGCGGGAGGGACTCGTAGAAGCGCTGCTCCCGGGAGATGAGGGGCTTGCACACCGTGTGGTCGTCGTAGCGCATCATGCTGCTGTGGCCGCCCACCTGGTGGATGAAGGGCTCCAGGAGGACCCCGCGGTCTCCGGCCAGACTCGCGCTCTTGCCGCACTGCCCCACTTCCATGGTTTGACAAACACACATCGCGTTGGGGGCCCGTCGCGCACCGGGGGCAGAGGACGCGGCTCATGGGCCACCGGAGCAGCGCGGGGTGGAGGGCCTGCGCGCGGAACGCAGGTCTGAGTCTGCGCAGAAAGGGGGAGGGGAGGGAGGGGAAGAGAGTCAAGCACCCGGCCAGCTAGTCCCAGCTCAGTGTCTGCTGGGGCTGCTGTGGGGAGGCAGCCGAGGTGCATGCTGGCCTCCAGCTCCCTTTTCCGCACAACAGCCCACATTCCCTCCCTCTGCCAGCTCTCAGGCCCCTCGAAGCTCTCGAAAGGATGTGGTTTCAGAGCCGCCAAGTATGTGACCGCCATCAGGAAAGCACTGTCCCTGCTCTTCACAGAAGAGCTCAGGACAAAACCCAGAAGCAGCACGAACTCCTCCCGCCCAGACCTCCCACCATGACCAGAGCTGGACAGGGTTTCTGCCCCAGAAATCAGGTCACACCGGGTTCCTGACTTTTCTGCTGAAGGTGCCACGCCCCGGCGGGGAAGCACTCCTGGTTGAGCGGCAGAATCATAAAGGAACTCGGGCTTCAGATGTTACCAAGTTCGGGCCAAGTCCAGCACCTCCGGCCTTCCTTTCCGCTGCCTTTATACCAACCAGTGGGACAAGGAAAAGCTCTTTGTCCTCAAAGACCCTCCTTGTAATGGCAATTTTCTCTCAAGAAAGTTAAAGTAGTGACACCTTCCTGACTACTGAATATCTTCTTTTTTTAAAATATTTTTTTATTGATTTCAGAGAGGAAGGGTGAGGGGGAGAGAGGTAGGAACACCAATGATGAGAATCATTGAGTGGCTGCCCCCTGCACGCCCCCCATTGGGGATCAAGCCTGCAACCTGGGGATGTGCCCTTGACCAGAATCGAACCTGGGACCCTTCAGTCCACAGGCCGACGCTCTATCCACTGAGCCAAACCAGCTAGGGCCTGAATATATTTTTAAAGCTAGGAAGGTACTGGCAAGACTACACCTGAAAGTTCAAGACTGAAAAACAAAATATGTGTAGAGCAAGAATATGGTTTTTCCTGAACCTCATACCCACGGGCGAAACGGGCGGCACCAGAACGCTGGTGCAGCTGCCTTAACCCCAAGCTGCCAGGAAGCTACGCCCATCCCACTGCTGTCCACAAAGAGACGCGCCCTCCACTCCACTCCCCTCCACTCCTCCAGGCGGATCCGCAGGGCTTTCAGGCAGCGCCTCTTTGGCCTCTACTTCCCAGATCTCCTCCAGGATCGGGGCTTCCTGTGCCCAGGGCTTCCCCAGACTCCACTGTTCCTAACAGGGGTCCTGGACACCCCGTGTGGCTCCTAAGGCAGCCGGTGCCGACCCTCACAACAGCATTGCACTGCGTCTATTTACTCGTCTGTCACCACCACCAAACCATCCCCTCTCACCTCCCTCCAGGACCCAAGGTCGTTCCTGGCACAGAGGAAGTGCTAAAAAGAAGGTTTGTTGGACTGAATTAAATAACTGCAGAAGGCCCCAATGAATAAAAGCACATTGTGAGCGTAACAGGAATCTCGCTGCGGCAAAAAGGGCTAAATCCACGTCTTACATTTAGGGCCTATGAATCATCTACTGGGTCAAGTCATTTCCACCCCAACATGATTTCGTCAAAACCCCACTTAGTCTTGTTCAAAGTGTCTGTTTTGGAAAAGGAAAGCCTAGCTTGGTGCCATACTTCCCCCCGACCCGACTCACACCCTCCGCACACAACCAGTAAGAGATCCAACACAGCAGCCCCGAGGGCCAGGACAGAGTCAGAGCATGTGACTTCCCGGTTCAAAACCCTGCAGTCTCACCCTATTTCAGCCAAAGTCCCAGTCCAAGTCCAGAGCCTACGAGATCCCACAAGACCTGTGGTCCTCCCACCCCGTCCTCCCCGGTCAGGTTTCCTAGCCCTCTCCCACTGCTCCTCACCTGACTCGGTCACACCGGCTGGCACATGGCATACTTCGCCCTCGATGGCTTTGCACCTGCCTTGCCTTCTGCCTGGACCGTTCTCCCCCCAGATACCCACGTGGCTACCTCATTCGCTTTCTTCAAGAGCACTGAGAAAGAGGGTCAGCTCAAATGTCTTTCTCTTTAAGTTTGAACTGCAAACACACGTGGACGCCCCTTAACCTGCTCTACTTATTCTGCTTTTTCGTGGCACTTCCCCTCTTCTGACATAATATATATGTTATTTATCGATAATGTGTGTATTTTTATTATGATGTCACCTCACGAAGGAAAGACTGTCTGTTCAGGTCACTACTATATCTTCTCCTAAATGCTGGAGTAGTGTCTGGCACATGGTATCCACACGATAAAAACAGCTGGTAAATGACTGCATGTATGTGATGTTTGTTACAGATGTGTGCGGGAGGGTGCTAAGTATATAACATGAAAGAATGTTTGTGAAGGACAAGTTCTTTCTTTTCTTTTCCCTATTAGGGCTGTAAATAAAAAAATGTTTACAGGCTAACCTAGGGCCGTGACCAGAACCAAGAGGTGGCTTTCCAGAGGACAAGGCATGTTGGCCACAGGACAGAATTCCAAATCCACACACAAAGAAAAGGCAAAATTCTGCATTTGGACTCAAAAAGATGACAGATGAAAGAAACAGTTTTAAATGTGCCTGGATAAGAATAACAACAATAGCAACTAAACAAAATATGGAAGGGAAAAGCCTAGGCCAGTGATGGCGAACCTTCTGAGCTCGGCGTGTCAGCATTTTGAAAAACCCTAACTTCACTCTGGTGCCGTGTCACATATAGAAATTTTTTGATCTTTGCAACCACAGTAAAACAAAGACTTATATTTTTGATATTTATTTTATATATTTAAATGCCATTTAACAGAAAAATCAACCAAAAAAATGAGTTCGCGTGTCACCTCTGACAGCGTGTCATAGGTTCGCATCACTGGCCTAGGAAGAGGATGCGAGCAGTTTTATTAAAAATACCAAAGAGAACAAGGGGGAAGTAGGCAAACATACAGATAATCTCAATAATTAAGGATGAACCACATCAAAGAATTCCAACCAAATTTAGAAAAGACAACGTAAGAAGTTTGTTTGCTTTAATTCAACAACAGGGTGAGCCTAGAAAGTGGCAACGAACAAAAGCCCTGGCGGCGAGCGCCTGCCCTCAGACATGGGCGCGATCAAGGTCAGGGCTATTTAGCACAAGGCAGGCGCAGCCCCACACAAGACAATACCTGGTCACCACGTCCCTAGAGGGACAGGCTCGGGCACACTCCGCACGCAGACCAGCAGACTCGCATTCCAAGAAGTCTGGTTGGAATTCCAAATTCGGTGGCCAACCTATTGTTATAGCCTCAAATTAACCACTTGAGTGTGATATGCAATCTTTTTATAAAGGGAAGCATCCTTGGTGCCTTCACATTCCACAGGTATGCTTGAAAATTTCCTCAAATGTTCGTAAGAAATAGTTTATAACTCCAAGATTTCCACTACCTCTTCTGAAGTTAAACATACCCATAACAACAGTCTCATGCCCTTTCAAAATCATACAAAATGTATTTTAGTTTTTTAAAAATTAAATTTAAACTTGGTTAGTCCAGAATGCTAGGTAAAATTCTGGCAATAATGTATCTTTAGTTTGTTTTTTACTCTCTGATATAATCCAAGGTCAAAATAGCAAAAAGAACACAACGGGCCGATACGTCATTCTATTAGGAAAGAACAGCGCCCACGCCGGTGTACAGTTCCGGGCTTTATGAAAGCGAATTTCAGAAACAATGAGCTCACAGACTCTGACAGGAAAGACAGCGAGTGCCCTTAAATTCACGGGCGCACAAGCCAGAGAAAACGAACATGAAGGCTGTGTGTTCTCTAGAGCAGCCGTCGCCAACTGGTGCCCCGCGACCCCTGGTGGCCCGGGAGGCCCGGAGGTTGGCGAGCGCTGCTCTAAGGCTCGTCAGCCAGAGCCCACGCCTCCCGAAGCCAGGCCACGCGTGCTTTTCCCCGCGAGGCGGTGGGCACTGACCGCAGGCAGCTCAGGGGCGAAGACCATCCTTCCCCACGTGGACCGCCTGTTGGAAGCAGGTGCTCACAAACTCCTCCTCTGAGGATGGAAATACAGGGGTGTTTCCACAGGAAGAAGGCTGCCACCTTGAGCCTGCCCTTCCCATCTACCAGGGCCTGGCACGCTCCTCACCTAGAAACCAGAGGTGTGTGCAGAGGCCGAGAGCAATCTGGGTTTGAAACAAGGAGACGGGGAAAGGCTTACAGGGATCCATTTTGTTGTTTGTCCTCAGAGAAGAGATGAAGAATTGTTTAGACTCCTGGGTCCTCTCAAAGGGCCACGGGCGAAGACATCCTCCTGAGAACACCGGGCTCAGAGCAAACAGGAGCGAGGAGGAATGGGAGCTGGCAGGAGGCCCATCAAGAAACAACCAGAACAGAAATAATTTAGGGCAAAGAGAAAAGCTAGAATGCAGTGAACCCCTTTCCTGTTTTTACTGGATTTATAAAAATTAGAAACCTGTGCTTCCATACACACACACACACACACATTTTAGCAAAGATCCTTTTGAAAGTACCTTTCTCAACTGTGCTGGAATGAGTGGGGAAAGGGCAGGATTGGGGCAGAATTTTAAACACAGGTCCCACTGATCCAGGGGAATCAAAATGAGACGACCCGAAGAGCGGGGAACAAAGGTGTCCCTCCTTCTGCCTGAAGTGCTGTCCGCTCACGGCTGAATGGGATGGTTCTGAACGAGGAGCCACGGGACCGTCTGCGCTGCGACTACACACTCCCGGGAGCCACACCGAGTCAGGGAAGTCTCGGCCTAGCTGTTCACAGGTGAATCTGAACACGGCAAACCCAGAAAGCACGCGTGGGAGGACGGGATAAATGGTTCTGAGAGGAACAGAAAACCACAGACACTTACAATGAGGCTGTGTGGCCCTGCCTGGAGCAGCTCACTTGGTTGGGCATGTCCAATGCACCCCAAGGTTGCCAACTCAATTCCCAGTCAGGGCACATGTTGGGTTTTGGGCTCAATCCCTAGTAGGGGGCATCCTGGGGCAACCAGAGGCAGCCGTTCTATATTTCACTCTCGCATCAATGTTTCTCTCTCTGTCTCTCCAAATCAATTTAAAAATTTTAGCCCGGCTGGTGTGGCTCAATGGTTGAGCACTGACCTATGAACCAGGAGGTCAGTGTTCGATTCCCAGTCAGGGCACATGCCCGGGTTGCAGGCTGGATCCCTAGTGGGGAGTGTGCAGGAGGCAGCCAATCCATGATTCTTTCTCATCATGGATGTCTCTCTCTCTCCCTCTCCCTTCCTCTCTGAAATATGTATGCAGAGGACCAATGCACAAAACTCATGCACAGGTAGGGTTCCTAGTGGCTGCCGGCCAGGCCTTTCTTTGTTCCATGCCTCCCCCTGGTGGTCAGCGCACATCATAGCAGGCGGTCGAACTCCCGGTTGAATTTCCGAGGGGACGATTTGCATATTAGCCAAGATATAGAATGGGGAACATCTTGGCCTCCATATCTCATACTGCCCGTCCCACTGAAGACCCCAAACTGAAAGAGAAGCTTCGGCGCAAGTGAAAGAAAGATGCGAAGGGACAGGACCAGGCCTGCTCTCCCAACCCAGGTTTCTGCTGTGGCTGGTCACTCCGTTCCCTTTCTCCCCTCCGTCCCCGTGTAGCCCAGCTAAGGGGAGGCCGAGGCGGGTGAGCACACGCGAAGTGGCTGGGAAACTGATGGTCCGCCCTATGGCATTTCCCTCGGTGACATTGTTTTAATAGAGGCTGCTTAATTTCAGAAGAGAAACAAAAGAACAGCAATTCTTGTCCCTCGCCCGAATGTCTAGTAGCTATAACTCTGGGTTTAGAACTGGAGGTCATGCCTGGTACAAACCTGCTACCTGCACCTGCGCTCCCCACAGGGTCGCTATTAGAGAGGCCCCCTGTGGAAAGGAGCCTCCTGCACCGGGAGGTGAAGCTGAACCTCTGGCCGCCGCACTGAGCTTGTCAGAACCCTCCCGGGAGAGACTCCCAGCTCGGAGCATGAGGGCTCTCCACGTTACGGAATGACGACACCAAGAAATAGCTCCCGTCTCTCCTATGCGCCTCAATGATATCACAAAACCGCTAGAACTCCAAAAGGGCTTTAAATAACCGAGTCTGCACTATTTTAAAAGGGGCGCCAAGAGGCCACGCCTATAAACCAGGTATGGCCGCAGCCCAGAGCCTCCTCCGGCAGCGAAGTCACGCGCTCACACATCTTGGCACCATCCACTCTGCAGACGATCTGAAAACACGACCAAAGACCAACTCCTCAGCCGTGGCCGCGGACTGCGATGCGCCCACTGTCGCCGGGACACAGTGAGTGCCCACCACACCGGCTCCGCTCAGCTCTGCTCTTCCGGAGGCGCCTGCTGCTCCGCACACACAGGTTCTCTCCCGCGAGGCCCGTGCTCAGGCTCCCCGGCTCCTGTCCTCCTGCGAGGCCTTCCCCGCTCCCGGGCGACAGTCAGACGTTCAGAGGGCCAGGCCAGGGACCCAGGCTGCCCTCCAGCAGCACCACACACAGTGACCGGTTGGAGCACCCGTTGCGTAGATTGAGGTCCACGCAGATGAGCAACACGCAGCTAGTGAACGTAGGAGCTGAGCTGTCACGGAGGTAAACGACCTGTTTAACGCCTCAAACCACAAGAGTTTAACTGCTTCCAGCAGATTAGCTTATCGCTCTGCTCTACCCTCGTAAGACACCAGGATTACATTTAAGCACCTTTAAACGGCAGGCACACACTTCCACCTACTTCACAGAGAACCCGCGTTCCGGAGAGACCGGGACTAACTCCACCACACAAACCATAACAACTTCCCCACTGAGGAAAGTGTAGTGACTGATGTCTTCAAAGAAGCATCATTCCTTCAAAGCAGTTCCAAATCTCTTCGTTCTCTCAGCTTCCTTTCCTGACCCTCCTGTGACATAAAGAACTGAAAAGACACTCAGTGGTTGAGCGTCGACCTATGAAACAGGAGGTCACGGTTCGATTCCCGGTCAGGGCACAGGCTCAATCCCCAGTGGGGGGCGTGCAGGAAGCAGCTCATCAATGATTCTCTCTCTCCCTCTCTTCTTCTCTGAAATCAATAAAAAAAATATATATATATTCTTTTTTTTAAAAAGGAACTGAAAGCCTGAACATGCAGAGCTCCCAGGAGTCTGGGAGTCAAGACACACAAACGAGCACTATGAGAGAGGGGTATCACTACAATTCCCACAGGCATTCAAAACAAGGTAACATCATGAACAACTGAGTATCAGTAAGTTCAACCACCTAGACGAAATAGAAAAAGTCCTCAAAAAATACAACTTACCAAAACTGACACAAGGTAAAATATAAAATCTGAATAGCCTTATATCTATTAAGAAATTTATCAAAAATCTTTCCAAAGAACACTCCAGACACAGGTTTCACTAGTGAATTCTACCAAACATTTAAAAAAGAAACAACACTAATATTGTACATTTTCAGAAAACAGAGAGAGAAAAAACACTTTCTAACTTGTTTTATGAATTCAGGTAGCGCTGATAACAAAATCTAAAAGGAAACTTGCCATAAGAGAGAGAAATGCAAAATATTATAGACGAATATCTTTTGTGAACAAAGACACAAAAATCCTTTAAAAATGTTTAGCAAAACAAATCCGATGACATAGAAAAAATAATACAACATGACAAATGGAAATGCAAGGTTGATGATGTGACTCATCATATCAACGGGGGGGAGAAAGACCGTCAACAGCGCTCGCCTCCCTCATCCTAGAAGGCGACGGCCACGGGTGCGAGGGGAACTGCGAGGGCCCGCCAGGGCGGCACCAGACACCCTGCCCCAGGCAGGCCAGCGCCTCTCCCCCACGACCTGTACCGGCTCCATCCCAGCTCAGGCAGCACTCTCCCTGGAGCATCTGTGTCAGCCCTGGAGGCAGCGGCTGCTCCGTGTACCGGCTAATAATGCAGATTGACCCTCTACCGGTTAATAATGCGGATTGGCCCTCTACCGGTTAATAATGCGGATTGACCCTCTACCGGTTAATAATGCGGATTGACCATTAACCGGTTAATAATGCGGATTGACCATTAACCGGTTAATAATGCGGATTGACCATTAACCGGTTAATAATGCGGATTGACCATTAACCGGTTAATAATGCGGATTGACCATTAACCAGTTAATAATGCGGATTGACCACTTACTGGTTAATAATGCGGATTGACCATTTATCGGTTAATAATGCGTATTTTGTCATCAAAGAAAACACATTAATTTCAAGAGAAACAGCAAAAGTGCTTTGTTCAATGTAATGCCCATCGCTAGCTACACATTCCCCCATCTTTCAGGTAATTTGTGGAGACCATTCCAATAGAACTTTTTTTGTTTGAGGCAAACCATTCAGAGACCCAATTTTCCACATTTTCGTACGTTGTGAAGTGCTGCTCAGAAAGTGCGTGTGCCCTCGATCGGAACAAGTGCTCATCTGAGGGAGCAGGTCTGGTGAACACAGCGGGTGGGTTCATGCTTCCCAGGCAAGATCTTTTTAAAAACATATATATATTTTACTGATTTTTTTACAAAGAGGAAGGGAGCGGAATA